TAGCACATGTATACACATGTACTACATCATAGCTAGCACATGTATATGAGTTGTATAGTAGGTGTAATACAAGTTGTGTAGCACATGTATACACATGTACTACATCATAGCTAGCACATGTATATGAGTTGTATAGTAGGTGTAATACAAGTTGTGTAGCACATGTATACACATGTACTACATCATAGCTAGCACATGTATATGAGTTGTATAGTAGGTGTAATTAGGTGTATGACAACTAATAGATTAGGTGAATTAGTATTATAAATAGGCCTTGTAATCTTCTCTTCTAGATATGAAATATAGAACTTCTTTGGTTTCTAACAATAGGAAATAGATTAAAATAATTGTTAAGGAGAAATCAAACAAAGGGAGGTAAGCGTAATACTCCAAACTACAAGGGAGGTTAGTATTACGAAGCAAAACCCGAGGAGAGGTCTTTGAAAATTTCGTTATATTCTATTGTATTATTACATTGATTTTTTGGACTTTCAGCAGTTTGTGACATTTTCAGGTCATATATGAGGACCTTCCCTCTAACTTATGTGCAATCCGTGATCACATCGAGAAAAGAGAAACTGAGAAACCTCTTGAGAAAATTAACCATGATGCGTGTAGAGAGGCATCGGTTAGTTCATCAATCAAGGATTCATATGTTTATTATGATAGGCCAGCTGCGCAGAATTCAGACAGTTGTAGTTTATATTCACCTCGACGAAGGCCGAAAGTTCCAGGGCTGCAGAGGGATATTGAAGTTCTCAAAGCTGAGCTCTTGGATTTTATCTCTGAACATGGACAGGAAGGATTTATGCCTATGAGAAAGCAACTCAGGAATCATGGAAGAGTGGACATTGAGAAGGCGATTACACGCATGGGAGGTTTTAGAAGAATTGCTTCATTGATGAATCTCTCTCTTGCTTACAAACACCGCAAACCGAAAGGTTACTGGGATAGCTTGGAAAATTTACAAGAGGAGGTTAGATATCAGTTCTTCGTACTAATTATAACTTCTGATTTCTTGCATAAACTGTGAATACATGCAAAAGCAGAAAACATCATAAGATACTGATCAATGGGGAAAAAATTGAGTTTCACTCTTTAAGAAAGTTTACCACCTTTTTTTGTTGTATTTCATATTTTTTTGATTATTTTGATTAAGCTTGGAAATTAATCTGCAACTGCAACTTCTCAGATCAGTCGCTTCCAGACGAATTGGGGAATGGATCCATCATATATGCCCAGTAGAAAATCCTTCGAACGTGCAGGTATGGAACTTGATTACAAGATTTTGTTCCTGTTTTGGTATAATTGATTCATCCGCTCCACCCACTGCCCTACAAAAATGGAAGAAATAAGTGAAATAGAAGTGGAGGATACCGTCCACTGTAAGAAGTCCAATAATATCAACTAGTTTTGTTCATAAAGGTGCAATGATTGAATCTTACCTCTGCAGGAGTAATATTATGTTTTACTTGGTCCGACAGATGGTAGTCATGAAGAAATACTCCATTCATACGTATATTTATTTGACCTTATGATGGTACTTGCAGCTGTGTAACATTGACGAGTACCAAAATTCATAGTTAGCTCAGTGCCACACAACTTTAGCATGTTCAAACTGAGAAATGGTTTAAGAATCAATGGTAAACAAAAGTTTAAAACCTCAGGCTTTGCCAACTGTTGAGCTTTGTTTAAGAAAATTTGATTTAGTTATTTGAATCTGAGAAATTTAAAACATCAGCAAATAAGAGGGTTTACGTTTATAGTACTACATATTTATCAAGCTCCAATGCTCTGTAACTTTGAAGGGTACCAAACATCATAGGGTTCCTGCGTTACAACGTGTTTTGAAAGTGTAACTCATCTTGAGGAAGTTCTATGGTCCCGGGCCACAATGGTGGTTGACACTTGGGACAATCATATATTTGGATTCCATCTGGGTGCCACATGACACAATGTTTATGAGGCGTAGAGTTGTGGTGGTTCTTTACCTCGCATATGGTTCTGATTGTTTCAAGTTATCTCCTACAGGTCGCTATGATATTGCTCGTGCATTAGAAAAATGGGGTGGACTTCATGAAGTTTCGCGTCTTCTGTCACTTAAGGTAAGGCATCCTAACAGACAAGCAAACCTTGCCAAGGAGACGAAAGTTGAAGTGTTAGCTAATGATGTAAATGGTGAAACAATGTCGTCTAAACCTTTTGTTGCACAAGATGCACAAAAATGGCTCATGAAACTCAAGGATTTGGACATAAATTGGGTGGAATGAGTATTGGCTTTGTTTCATTATACTTTTCTGCTGAAAGTATGACAACAACTAATTGTGTCAAGTGTACATATAACAATCAAATATGTGTCCATAATTTGATTTGATTCTCCATGTCCATTTTCGAGTTTAATTTCAAATCTTATGTTGACTGTTCAATTTACATTTAATACGTGGTCAAGTAACAACACATCATGAGTTTTGAACTTGTCTTTGAGGGTAGGGGTGGACATGGTTTAGGCAAACCCGAAATTCGAACCGAAATTGAATATTTTTTGGAGTTTTGGTTTGGATTTTTGGATTACAATTGGTTTTCAGATTTACTTTATAAAATTTCGGATTTCGAATTGGATTTAAGATTTGGGATTTAATATTTTTTTATATTTTAAAAATACAAAATATTTATACTTTATATTTAGCCTTACCTGTGCGCGGCGAAATTAGAGGGTTTGATTTCTTGCTATTAGTTCATTTCAGAAGGACATCTCGAGGCCTCGAGGACGCCAAGCTGCGATCGAGTTCCCTTTCTCGAAGCTCGTCGAGGCCCGGCTTTAAGGGAATATCGACCGAGGCTAGAGTAAAAATGGGGAGTTCCTAGGGCACGCTGCTAAGTTTGACAAAGCCGCCCTGCCTAGAACATATGTCAGGGTGTCGCGTCTAGCCGTCCCATCCCCATACCTTTGTAATTAATGCTTTTCGTACTATGTTGGGATTCCCCTCCTATATAAAGGAGATCCTTACCATTTTGTAGAGGGCTGCTGTTGCTCCAACTATTCTACATAAGATAAATAACAACTCTCTCTCTCTCTCTCTCTCTCTCTCTATGTTCTCTCTAACACGACCCTTCGATATTATTACTCTTATTTGTTGATTTCATACTTGTTCTTCATTTATTGCTTGTCGTTGGCCATAAAGAGCCTTCCTTAATCATATCCTAACTGTTAGTCCGTTCCCGATTATCCCCGATAGCTTGAGCCCGAGCCTGGACATCAACCTCGAGGCCCTCATCGGTCAGTCCGAAGCCCGAATAGCTAAACCCCCCGGTTCGACTATAATCCCATTCTAGCTCGCATTTCCTCTTTTATCTTCACATATCTAGTATCAACTGCTTAACAACTAGCATAAAAATAGATCACGTATTTTTAGAGTCCAATCAACAAATTTAATTATTATTACCATTTTCATGGTAAACAGTTTGACGCCTACCGTGGGGCTAAAAATAATAGTCATTATTTTCTTGCTGGTTTCGTTACACAACACATCTTTCACACTTTTTCTTGTCCAAGATCTTTGATTTCAGGTCAAAATGTCTGGCTCAGTGAACAGAGGTGAGAACGACAACCTTGAAAACCATGGAGAAAACGGTGTGGATGTTCCAATTACTGGCGCGCCACCACAAAACCCCAATAACGCGCCTGGAACGATTCCAGCGGACGCGGGTTCGCAAGACGCACAACAGGTCGATGAAACCTCACACACCGGCATGAGCATACAACATGGCGACCAACAGGAAGTCCAAAAAACCCTAGCTCGGGAAGAACGGGAAGTTAGCCTTCATGTTATTTTTGAGATGTTGTAGGCGCAACAACTGGCTATCTCTTAGCTGTAAAGCCACCCGAAGACTCCCAGCACGGTAGCACCGGGAACAGCTCCCCTAGCCGAACAGGTACTTGAGAGATCGAGCAATAACGGATCGATAGCCGACCCTGCCATCGTAAAACTGCTAAAAGATCTCACCAAAAGGATCGAATCGGGCGAGAAAATGATAGCAGCCAACGATAAGAAGGTCGAGACCTACAACTCCAGGGTCGACCAGATCCCCGGCGTACACCCGGTCCTAAAAGGTGTGGATTCAAAGAAGTTCATACAAAGGCCGTTCCCCGAAGAAGCGGCCCCGAAACCCATTCCAAAGAAGTTCAGAATGCCAGAACTCCCAAAATACAACGGGACCTCAGACCCCAACGAACACGTCACTGCCTATACGTGCGCAGTAAAGGGCAACGACATAAAAGACGACGCGATCGAGTCCGTCTTACTGAAGAAGTTCAGAGAAACACTCTTGAAGGGGGCCATGATGTGGTATCACAACCTACCTTCCAACTCCATAGACTTATTTGCCATGCTAGCAGACTCCTTCATAAAGGCACACGCCGGTGCCATCAAAGTAGCAACAAGGAAATCCGACATATTCAAGATTAAGCAGAGGGAGAATGAAATGCTATGAGAATTCGTATCTCGCTTCCAAACAGAACGAATGGAACTACCCCCGGTCTCCGACGACTGGGCGGTGCAGGCCTTCATTCAAGGCCTGAATGAACGAAGCTCAGTGGCCTCAAGGCAGCTGAAAGAGAATCTGATCGAATACCCCGCCGTAACCTAGTCGGACGTCCACAACAGGTATCAGTCAAAGATCAGGGTCGAAAATGACCAGCTGGGAGCCCCATCGGGCTTAGTATATCCGTGCAGACTCCTGGCGAAGGAGTCGTAACCGAACAAAGAGAGGTATCAGCCGTAACCCGAGGATAGGAGGAATGCCCTGAGACGCAATCCGCCTCGCAACGATCGATTGGTGAACCGAGGACAGAACCCTCGGGGACTCATCAACAGAGGCGGACTCGACGGGGACACGGGGCCAACAGGGGCACCTCGCTTATCAGAATACAACTTCAGCGTTGATGTATCGGGCATTGTGTTCGCCATCAGCAAAATCAGAGATGCCAAGTGGCCCAGGCCTATACAATCGGATCCCTCACAAAGGAATCACAACTTAGTGTGCGAGTTTCACAACACGCCACCAACTCCAAGAAGAGGTAGCCTGACTACTTAACAAAGGGCATCTCCGGAAATTCCTTAGCAATCGAGCCAAAAATCAGTTCCGGGGATACATCCCCAAGGACGCCCCCACATTCAGCGAAGAGGACACCGAGACCTTGTCTCAACCTCACAATGACGCATTGGTAATCTCTTTCCTTGTAAATTCTTTTCAAATAAAATGTGTACTCGTGGATCCAGGTAGCTCGGCCAACATTATTAGGCTGAGGGTGATATAAAAGCTTGGACTGCTTGACCAAATCGTGCCCGCCACTCGAGTCCTCAACGGATTCAACATGGCAAGTGAAACAATGAAAGGGGAAATCATCCTCCCAGTCACCGTGGCCAGCATGACCCAAAACGCCAAATTCCATGACACCGAAGGAGACATGAGGTATAACGCCTTATTCGGACGGCCGTGGATACACTACATGAGAGCGGTACCATTCACTCTTCACCAAATGATGAAATTCCCAACAAAGGATGAAATCAAAACCGTCTACGGGGAACAACATGCGACAAGGGAAATGTTCGCGATGCACGACGTGGCACCGGCGCTTGCACCTCCGCCCGCAAAAGAGCCAAAGGGTAATCGAGCCACACCCTCGATCAAGCCCGATTAAACAAAATAAAGGACCGTACCGCGTCCTCATCCCGAGTGATTAGAACATATTGATTCTTAAAACATCGCCGGCGCGTCTCACATTAAGGTACGACCATCTCTCTTTTCATTTCGTATTTCAGACTAAGCCCTATGTAAGCGCCCGATCGAAGCGGTCAGAACGCTAACCCAACTCGAAGACCTTAAGGTTTTAAAGCATCTGTTGCACTCTTTTCCTTCGACCGAGTTTTTATCCCGAAGAGGATTCGCTGGCAAGTTTTCTAACGAGGCAACACCTACATGCTACCTAAGGAGGATCCAACAAGCGTACAAGGCTTCTTTTGCAATCGACCCCGAACACTGGAGGGCATCCCCTAGAAAGGTCATCCACTCGGAAAAACCAAGGAACGCCGAACAAGGTTCCAATAGGAAATGATGTACCGGGCCAAACGGTCAAATGAACCGTGTTCGCATAATCCGGACCCACGACAACAAAACAACATGTACTTATTCCAAGCAATCAAAGAATATCTTTCGCCAAAGCAAATCGTACTCCAAAGGAAACTCAGCATTTTCACAACAAAGATCCCTCCACCAAAAACGCCCCGAAATACTCGGAGACTGGCATCAACAACTCGGCACCCATATAACCTCAGGGTCGGAACTCCAAACTCATAAGCCTTCAATGAGGCGACATAGAAATTACGAAACATCTCTAGGAAAGGAAAACGTCCCGAACACTCGGAGACTGGCATCATGACCTCAGGGTCGGAATCTGCAAAATCGTAAGCCCTCAACGAGGCAATTCCGAGCTTACGAGTAATGGCTCCCGAGCCTAAACAAACTCGATTACTCGGAGACTGTCGCCAATCGCCTTTCATTAAAAAACCCGAGGCCGTAAGACCCCGAGCGGGCAGACTCGGTCTTGTAAGACCTCAAGCAAGGCATGAATCATACTTGTACCAAGTATCAATAAAACTGCAAGATCTCAAGCAAGGCATGAATCATACTTGTACCAAGTATCAACAAAACTGTAAGACCTCAAGGAAGACATGAATCATACTTATACCAAGTATCAATAAAACTGTAAGACCTCAAGCAAGGCATGCATCATACTTGTACCAAGTATCAATAAAACTATAAGACCTCAAAAGGCATGAAAATTTTGTAAGACCTTACTACAGGCATAAACTCAATCCCGAAGTTTAGGCTATATATCGCATTTGTAAGATTCCCAAAAGGGCATACCCTCGATATAGACACCTAAACTACTACACTGGGGACCAAAAATGGCTCCGGCCAAACACAAATGACTACGGTCATACGGCTGTACCAGCCAAATTAACGCGACTCGGGGACGCCCGACTGTCGCTACAAAATCATAGGCCATTACTTCAAATCTACTTCGAAAAGAACCGGTTAAACAGGCTACCCTCGACAGGCAAAAAAACTTCGACCATGTCAGCTCCAAATCATAAGGCTTCGAGCTACTCAACCTACGAGCCAAACCTTCCGAGGTGTTCAAACATCGCCGCAAACGACTTTAAATTGAGGTTCTTCTCGAATCGACGACCGGTCAGGCAAAATCATTTCAAAAGTCCTTAACGAGAGGAAAATAAAGCCTACATAAAAGGTCACATCGACTAAGCGCGTAAGAGCCATTGTCGCCAGCCTAATGAGCCCCAGGGCCACACATACTA